AATTCCAAACTCGAACTCTCAGTAAAAGAAAACCAAGAAAATGAAAAGGTCTTAGAACAGTTAATGAAAGAGTTTAAGGAACTTGCTGAACAATTAAACTAGGATGCTTCGAGAGGAAATTATAGATCTTTGAAAAAAATTAGAAGAGAAAATAATCAATCTCCTCAGTGACTTAGACTCAACTAAATCTAATCAAACAGTCGTGATAGAACGTTATGAAAAAAGATTACAAGCCAAGAATGAGCAGATTATTAAGTTAGAAACTAAGTTAGAAGAGGATGATCCGGGCACTTTTCATCAAGCAGTTTTACGGGAGATTAGGTTAATGATTAGAATTCCCGCTAATGCTAGTGAAGAACAATTCCTAGAAATTGTAAAGAATTTACGAAAAGATTATCGAGGATTAAGGGGACTTGATGGCGGAGGAAATTAAGTTAACCTAAAATATTAAATCTTAATGACTAATCCACAAAAAAAAAAAAAAAAACAGGAAGTATTAGAGGTGTGAACTACTCTTAAAGAAAAACTAGCCAAAGTCTTAATCCCTACTCACCTTAAACAAGAATTATTATCTGAACTAAAAGAACCCCGACCTAACTTAGCCATTAAACAACAGCAGTGAGGTCTATTAAAAAACAATCAAGAACGGCTTCAAAAGGTTTTCGAAAGTCATCTTAAACATAGCCAAAAATTTCTGGCTTTGCATGCTGATAAAAAGGGTTCAATGATAACTGATGAAGAAAAAATAATGCAAGAGTGTAGCGAACTATCAAATCAGTTATGCCATCTAACTGAACCAATCAATGGTCGTCATCATGAGGATTTTTTGCCTCGCCTATTAGCAATTATAGATACCGTTTTACAATTAAACCATCAGTAAAACCTACTTAGTAAAACTAATTTATACCCCATCCTAATCTACTATTATGACTAAAATCAAACCAACCCTAAATAAGATAAATAGGGTAGGTAAAAATAAGGGTTTAGTATAAAGGACAAAAAATCTAATCCTGAGGATGACAAT